CATTAAATCACCATATTTTGTCTCAGAAATTAGACATAACGTTGATTTTATGCCTTTTATTGGGAGTTTTTGTCCTGGCCGTACACAACTGAAGCTCCATTCCTCGCAGTCGGACATAAATCAGAATGAAACCTTAAACGCCGTCTCTTATGTAAAAGGGCAGTGACACATTTGCGCCGCTTGAGATGGTGACTGAACATTTTTTTTTTTCGATTGTTTTTCAACTTGCCGCTGATTCATCAAAATGTGTGAAACTGTCAAATGTTTTCTCTGTGCTTGTGTCAACACAAGGTTTGAAGCGCACATCGGTGTTCGCAAGGCTTGGCGCCGAATCGAAGGCGGACCCAGCAGCCAGCACTAACAAGGTGAGGGCCATCAGTTTGTCTCCTTTATATTGCCAAATTGATACAGACTGTACACTGTAGTCAGCTAATAGGATTATGGAATGCCGGAGGGGTTGACTTGAAACTTCTGAGGCGTGGGAATGGCACAGAATGCAGCAATGTCAATTTTTGTCATTTTAAAAAATGTTTTAATGTTGGGTGGGGGTGGAGCGTTTGATGGGGGGCTTCTTTCATCGAGACGGGTTTGTGACTTGGCATGTCACACATCCTCGCTGGTGGACTTCTGGGTAAGAACAAGCTGGACTAAAAACATCAGGATTTGGACAGATTGTGTCATGAATATAGCTGGAGATCACGTGTGCAAGGAAATGCTCACGGTTCTTGGCTGACGATGGCAAAACAGCAGCCGTCAAATGTGTGAGGATGACTTCCTGACTCGCTTACCACGCTCCTTGTGTTGTCAGCCCACAGGCGTCTTCAGCCGTCTGGACGCAGCAGACGAAGTGGAGGCGGAGCCAAGGTCGGGAAAGTTGAAGTCGACCGAGCAGGAGGACGACAGCGACGGAGAAGGATCCGTCCTCCAGTACGCAGGCGTCCTCAAAAAGTTGCTGCCCTCCCCGAGGAGCGAGCCCATTAAAAAGCCCGCACCCACCACACTGCGGCGCCTGGGCGGCAAATTGAAGCGACCGCCGCCCGACACCTCCACCCCGTCGTCCTCCTCCAATGGTGTCCCAACTAAAATCAGCGTGCTTCAGAGACTGGGTAAGCACCAGCGCGCCGCCGCCCCCTCCTCTGCGGTGTCTCCCCCACCTGCTGACACACAGGACAATAGAGTGACGAGCACTCGGCCCAGGGCCAAGCAGAAAGTGAGCGTGGTGCGCTGCAAAGTCAGCAGCAGCAGCAACAGCACTGGAGCAGGAGCCAGAACAGGAACAGGAGCAGGAGCAGTGGACTGTGCTGGCGCCCAGATGGACTGCAAGGCTGTCAGCGTTTTCAAGAGGCTAGGAAATAAAAACAAGTAACACACGTCCCAAATGTTGTGCAGCAAGGACTGTGGATTCATTTGGGGGGAAATTTAGTTTTTTTATTTTATTTTAATTTTTTATACAGACACTGACCCAAAACAAAATATTTTAGTTTTAACTCTGGTGCCATGGGTAACCTCATTTTTCCAAATTATCATTGCTCCTCCCACCCAACAAATCAACTTTTTTTTAATTGCTTGGACAGAATTATTGCAATGATATCTCACATTTATCATTCTTAAGATTTTAGTATTTAAGCATTAAAAAAAAAAATCCAAATGCATGAGCATGGCATGGACTGAAGTGCTAGTATTATCGTTTTAATAATTTACCCGTGAGCGAGGGCTGCTGCTGCCCAAACCTCCCGTCACAGTATTTATAGTCTGCAACATATCATGACAATTTTCTGAAGTCATTTGTAATTTCAAATCCATAAAGGTAATTTACTTCCCCCTTTTCATTTTATACAAAAGTGAAAACCTATCGTGATTCACCTTTTGGTCAAGCCATAGGAACTTATTAGGAAACTTATTGTCAACTTAACCTAAGCATCCGCACCAAGTTGGAATGATTCCGATACCTCTCAACCTCCCGGTGGACTTTCTTACCTTAGTATAGACCGCATACCTGAAAGGGAGTGTGGGTTGAGTGTTCTTATAACACAGCATGTATAGATTTGAGTCGACTTGATTTCACACCGCACAGAGCATGGTATGCTACATCTTTGTCTTTGTTGGAGAAATTAAAATATCAATCTAATGCCCTTTCTCCATTGTACCGGTTCTACACTGAAACGGCCTGGTTCCACCCTGTGTGTTTCCTTTTTCAATACAGCTATTTGAAGCTGGGTACTTAGAATGGAACTGTTCCTCAGAAGCTCTTCCAACCCAAACGCCGCCGCCGTCGTCGTCATTTGATTGGCTGGGCTGTGGGTCCACAAGGTGTTTAATTTTTTTTTCACCTGCCCGCCATCTCATGGTGGTGTAACAGCTGTAGGTCTTTTATAGACTTAAATTTACACTTGAACTTTGTTACCGTTGTAAATATTTAAAGTGTTGTTTTTTTTTTTTTTAACTTTTATTGTCTTGAGAAACAAAGAAGAAATGCTTAAAAGAAAGAAAACAAAGAAGCTGTGCTTCGTAAGAGAATTAAAACGAAGCGTCCAAATATCTTTTTTGTCTTTATTTATTTTTACTCTTATGGCTTGGATTATAATTCAGATTTCAGCAACAGTGTGATCAAATCCAATTTTATCTCGAGATTTTCATGTTTTATGAAACAATATGGAAATGTGGACTACACTTTAGCACTGAACCGCTCTCGACACTCCATAAAGTTTATGTAGTTTATGTCATAAACAAATGAAACGTACATATTTAAAATAAAGTGTACCAATTGACTGAATTGTAGCTTTTGCAATTTGCAAATTGCATTCCACCCCATTGCGATGTTGATTTGACTTTGATGAAGTGTTCAGCCCAAATTTAATCATTAATGAACCTAACATGCATGTTTTTTTTTTTTTGTCATGTGGATGGAATCCAGAGTACTTGGGGTTTAGTGGATGAACCCCACACAAAAGCAGACCTGTGAGTCGAGCATCCCAACCACCAGCTCACAATGCTGCCAAAATCCACATGCCCCAAATATTCTTCGTTCTTCGTGAACGTTAATTCCCAAACCGTTATTGGCGGTATTTTTGTGGAACAAAGGAATCACACCTTTTTGCATCCAATGCAGACTGCATGGTGGCCTGCAGGCTAAATCTTACGTCATCCAAAAAGGCAGGCGTATGATTGAATCCATGTCCACTAGAGATCGCACTCTCCCTCTGCAAACCTCCCTTGAAATCTCAGCGATGAAGTCATCACGACTTGTGAACTGCTGTGAAACCTCAGTTCACCTTCGTCGCGTGTATATTGGTGATAAAGTAAGAGAAATGTAATGACACACACAAGCGAAGGGTGGGTAGCTGCAAACAAGGCGATAATTGCGTCCTGACCATTTGACATTCATAATAATTCATTCAGGAAAAACACGTTTGTCTTTCCGTGAATTGTGTGCTGCAGTCACGCTTCACGACTCGTTGGGGTGACCCAATCTGATGCGGTATTTGACCGACTGGTACGGCAAATCCACTTGGCCAAACTACTCTGTGGCAACCTTGAGCTGCCTCTACTTGCTTGTCGCGGAGATGGAAAACAATATTTTTTGTGTGTGTGTGTGTGTGGGGGGGGGGCAAAACCAGTGCCCTACGGCATCTTGTGGCATCCTGGGGGCCAGGAATTTTGTTGAAGAGAGTTGAAGAC